ACAGCGAATATTCTAAAAAAAAAATTACGGAAAAAGTTAATACTTTCCGAGTAAATGAGTGTATCCACTTAAATAGATCACCTGGTATAAGGTCTGTTGGTCGCAATACTGAAATCCAAGGTTTTCAGTTGAAAATCCCAGGGGGGCAATAGCCCCTTTTTTACATCCTGTGGGCACCCTTGTATGATAATATCGTCAAATCATTGATATCGTTTTCTACATTTTTTATACACAATTTAGTTGTTACATTGATTTTGTTTACATATTATCTATGAGTGTGAATGTAATCCAGATATCAAAACAGTGTTGATAATAATACTAATATATTATTAATGCAATACATTTGAAATATTATTTTAGTAATGGGAAATAAATATTACTATATTATTATTAATTCATAACAAACACAATATTATTTTCAAAATCAAATTATAACATTTTAATTATAATTTACTCATAATACTATTAAAAAAGTATAATAGAAATTTTACTATTATAAACCGTCTAAAATAAATCATTATACTATTTTTAATTAATTTCGAAAATAATATTATTAATAACATTGATAAAATACAGTGACGCAACTAGGGGGTGGGGAGTTGGTGTTTGTGACCTCCCCCCCCGAAATATATTTGTGAGTTGAATTAAAGTTGTATTATTTTTTTATTTGATCATAACATTATTATTATACAGTACCATGGCAATTATTTTTTTTTTAGTGTTAGGGGAGGGGGGGGGTTAACTTATCATTTTTATATAAGTTACTATATTTTGTCGAACGAAAAAATACACGAAAATAATCAATAAACAAAAAAACAGGAGGGCACTCCCCGATGTTGCCCTTAGAAATCTATCAAAATTCATGCTAAAGATTGGCGTAAAAAAAAAATTTGAAACTTTATAATGGGAGGGGGGAGGGGCTGGTGAAATACACAAATCCGAAAAAATACTTATTACTGGCAGGGAAGCATGGTGTAAATGTCGGGACTAATCATGAAAGTTTATGTTAATTGCATGCGAAAAATATCGGCGTCGGAAGAAGTCCGAAAAGTTAAACTTAAAACCCGGGAAGGGGGGGCTTGTAAAAACGTTTCTACAGCCCCCACATGGTGTTTTTAGTATAACGCCTAACTAAAAGCGTGCAAAATTGTCGCGATGGGCATGCAAATCTATGCTTCATTGCATGCCAAGTATTGGAGCAAAATTGATAGAAAAAAGTTGCGCACAGAAAAAAAAAAAAAAATCGTAATATTTTAATAATATATTTTATAGTAAAATAACGAAATAAAAAATGAACCATTAAAATGGTTAATACTCGTAAATAAATATGTAAATTGAAAATAAATAAATGAATGAATGCATCGCCAAAAGAGCGTGTTCTAATAGCTCCAGTCGACGCATTTATAAAACTTGTTGTGTTTATCTATCAGTGTTCGATAATAATAATAATTTGCATTTTTAAATACATTTCCCAAGCAGTTAAGTAGTTTCGAGTAAATATAAATTTCAGACCGCCGCGAGAGGGTTGAATTGAAATATTTTTGTGTCACCATTCATTTTGGCCGCGGCCTGCGTAGTCCCGTCCGCCACCGAATAAACTCTAATTTATAATATACGTATTTTCCGGCAATTGGTCCGGCCGATGTAGGGGGGGGGGAATCGATACGAGTTCTGACAACTGATGACGGAACGCAGCGTAAAGTGTACACGATAAGATCGGTCTACGCGTTTTTGCGAATTTTAGCGTTTAATTTCCAAAAAAATTGATTTCGAGGGCTTTAAAGTAAAAAAAAAAAAAAAAAAAAAAAAAAAAAAAAAAAAACTAAAAACACTAAAATCAAATTGATAAAAGTGTGCCCTTGTGTACGCTTCACGCTTGGATACGGATCTGTTTTTTTTTTTTTTTTTTTTTTTTTTTTCTTTTTTTATTGTTATATCACTCGGCAACGTCGGCCGAACGTTGCCGGAAAGTCAGTCTAAATCACTGTGCTGTGTGTATGTTACGCGTCAGACGATGAAATTGAGTGCCGACAACCACCGATTCCCTTAACCGTGCGCTTCGGCGGCAGCAGCGTTTGATTTTGTGTTTCGCGTCTCTCGAAACGCGTACGGCGCAAAAGTCGGTATAATACCTACAGCTGCCCGGCGAAAACGATCAAAAAGTTTTGCGCCGCCGCGTGTGTTCTGTACGGCTATAACGTCTGTAACTCCGGGGAGGTTGTTTTGCGAGTTTTCCAGTTCGACGGCCCGAAAATCACGAGAAATTGTCCGAAATCACGGCGCGCGCACTGGGAGAAAAGCGACCGTCGTTTTACATTTCGTAACTGCAATAGTTTCCGAAGCCGCAACACCGTTGGTTTCCGCTCGCAGTCATTTTTCGAACGCGCCGTACAACCGTACAAAGCGTTTGCGGGTTCAATAAACACAACAAAACGTCCTCGTTTTCGGGCTGAGCCAACCTTGAGGCGGACGTCCAGCCGCCGAGGCGTCAAACATATCGACGATCATTTTATTTAAATCGATATTTCATCACTCGTCTGACCGTTTACGTTGGCATTTTATTTTATTATTTTGCTACGTATATAACTTAACCTAAGTAATTGAGAAAACAATTCACGTACCGCGTATTATACCGCGCACTACCACACATAGGATACCTGATACCTACAGAACACATACATAGACGGGCGCGATCACCGGGGAGGAGTGAGGTGAAGAAGGCCCCCCCCCCTCGAGAAGCGGACTTGCGTTGGTGTTTGGCATGGTCATCGGTCCGGAAGTAGATATAATAGATGTAATCCAATATATTATTTGACATGATTTTTCAGATTCTTAGTGTAGCGAAGAATGTGTTTGCATGGTTTTACAAAGACGTTTATTATTATTGTTATCGTACGTTTTTTTATACGGCGACAAACGTTTCTACACGAAATCTAGTACGTTTTATACACCATTTCTGAAAGGTTTATATTGTCCGGATGGTACTTTAGGCGGCCATTTTTTGATTTATTATTATTTATTTATTTTATTATAATATGCCGTGTATATTGTTTTGTAAAAACAATACTATTCACCGAGCTCCGCTCAGGATCGTTTTCCGTTGGCAATGATTGATTTTCGATTTCAGATATACATTAAAGGTCCCTCTTTATCGCATCTTCCCGACTTCTCATCTACAATAGCGGCCCAAGCATCGTGCGAAGTACGTGCGTCTTTTTTTCTTATCAATTATTAATATTAATAGGTTTACATGTATATATTCATATGGCCCGGTGAAATATTTAAATATTAAAATGGCCCGCTTGAAACCTCGCACACCCGAAAAAAAAAATTGACATAATGCCCTTAATTTGTAGTATTGCTAATTTATCAACACGCAATTAATATAAAAACTCATTTTATTTTTAGACATTTCTTGTGTACATTTTCAGAGTTCAGAAATAATTCAAAAAATATCTCGAGGGGATTTGGTCACGACGCGGTGTAAGCATGTAATTATAGTCAATTTAGGTCTAAAAATTTGACAAAAACGTCGAAATCGTGTTAGACAGATTTCGAATTTGAATTTGTATTATGATTATTTAAGTTCTTCATTAAGATGCGTTGGATATAAAAATTAATTTTTTTTTTTTTAACGGAAATCGTAAACAAATTTGATTGTATTTTGGAAAATTGTTCAAAAAAAAAATTTACTTGCGAGTATTTTTCCGTTTACTTCAACGTCAAAGTATTTTATTACTTATTATTCAAGTAAAGTTAAACGTGTCCTATAGTCAGGAACCAAAGAGAAATCATACGCTAGGTTAGTGACACGTTTTGCTCTTGAACGACCGTTATCTCGGGCATTTGATTAACGGACCAGTCTTTACCGTAGGCGTCCTCAACGGGCGTTCGTTGGATTGTGAAAACAGTCTTCAAATTGCACAAAACCGGCGAAAATTTGAAAACCCCTCGCCAATCCCACTCCGCCCCCTCCCACCGCCCTCGTAGCGGAAATTCGATTAGGGGATTTCCACGTTGCGTATCACCGTCATCTGCGGTACGTACCGTCGAAACGCAGATTAGGAAATAAATCGAAAACCGCATTATCGCGCCGGGCCCATCAGGGCGGCACGGTGGCCGGCCCACGCGCGTGTGCTGTTGTAGTACCGTAGCACTGCGGTGGGCCTCGGGCCCGGCGGCGGGGGGGGGCACTGCAGGGTAAAAATATCATACGTATACGTCTCTGGGTACGCGTATGTGTATGTATACGAAATCTTGAAAATCTACCGGGAAAAACCCGGCGCGTAGCGTGTTAAATGGATCACCCCCGCGACTCACCGCGCGTCAGTTCGCGTCCCGTGTCCCGTCCGGTCCCCGCAGCACGGTAGCGTCCGCGGTGCGGGACGCGCACGCCAAAGTTTGTGTGCGTGCGCGCGCGATTACGCTGGCACGTCCGCGTGCGTGTGTACGGGTACACGTTTCCACACTCCGTCAAAAGCACCGCGGGACTTTTTCAGTTGCACTTTGGGCGCCGCGTGTCGCAGTCGTGTCGCAATCGTCGCGGGCAGTGGGTCGCGACCGAGAGGACGCGGGCTCGTCGTGTTTAATAACTTTTGATTTCGCGGTTTTACGTTGGATAATCTCGCCCGTCTGTAATAATACCGATAAAATATAATTTTTTTTTTTTTTCATCGGACGAAAAACCATCATAAAAACCGTTTTCGAAACCGCGTGATATTATAGAAAAAAACAAAAAATACAAAAAATACAAAAAACAATACTTCGTTTTTGGTTTTTTCGGGGTTAATTAATTATTGTTTTTTTTTTTCTGTTCTCGGAGTACCGTCCGTGTACCCCCCCCCGAACCGTCATGTAAAGACGTCCGCGTTCCGCGCGCCAAGACGTTCGAACGGTACCCGATTATTATTACACCGCGGTCGGACGCAAGTGTCCCCGTCGCGGTCCCACCGCCACCGGTAATAGCAGACGCGGCGCCCGGGCCGGTTCGCGTCATCGCCATGTTCGCCGCGGCGGCCGCGGCCGCGTTCTTGTTGTTGGCCGGCACGGCCATGGCCAGCGAGTACCCGGAACGCGAGTGCTGCGACCCGGTGGACCCGCCGCCGCCGGTGTCCGCGCCCGGCACGTCCAACTACGACGCCGGACAACCGGCGGCCGAGAGCACCGCCGGACTCGCGGCCGAAAACTCGGTCGCCGTCGACGTCCGCAGAGGTAATACGCGCGGCTAAATAGTACCGTAGCAGTAGCAGCACGCCGGCCGCCCCGCCTGACCGCACCGTACCGCGGCCGCGGCACGACAATTATAAATAGATTAGGCCCGTCACACCGTCGCGCGCGCGTCACGACCGTTTGTCGTATCAGTTCTGGTTCTTCTTGTACGGCACGAGACCGGATACGGCCGTCCGGTGTTCGGATATTAACAATGTATGATAGCGTATAACGCGTTAAGTGCATAGTACGTACAATATTATTATGCGACCGCGACAATATTACGAGTAATATTGTTATCATTGTTGTCGCTGTCGTTGTTGCTGCCGTTTTTTTTTTTTTCTAACGTTCCTTTTCGCACTATTGTTCCGAATATTAATGTGCATAGTATAACGTTGTGCTGCACACCTCCGGCACCGTCCCTCGACCCATTTATCCTATTTACTCCGCGTGCCCCACTCCCCACCCCCCACCCCCGTTCCATAGCGAAATATTATAACAATAATAATTATTAAAATAAAATATTACGGCGGGGTGTACGCAAACGCCATCACGCGGTTTTCGTACCACGAGGTCTGACGGAACGCGTGGCTACGTGCTTGTGTATAGCCGTTACGCCGCCGCCGCCACAGCCGCGATACCGTTTCCGATAATAATTTCCCCTTGTCCCCCGTCCGCGGCTTGTTAAAATACGTTAATACGTACCCGTAATGTTGTAAAATATCAACTAATATACGAAAACTCGTGTAAAAATTAAAAAAAACGTATATCCGCATTAGTACGTGTTTACGAAATATGACCGCGGGCAGTCGTATTGTTTTTTTTCCCCCGCATCACATCAGTCAGATTACCCGACAATTTTATGACCGCGGGTTCGAACAAATATAATATAACTCTTGTTTTTCAATCACAGTTCATTGACGATTGTTATGGAAAGTAACGTAACATTTTCATAAAATGCTTCCGTGTAAATTTCGCAGCTGTTGACGGTGAAAATAGAAAAAATTATGAAATGTAAAAGATAGAACAGTTATGAATCATAGCGATCACTTCTCGAGTTTACAATATTAATATTACTGTAAACAAAACGCCCTAAAATGGGGCTAGGATAATGGGGTCGGGCGCAGCCACTACTATAAGTAATTCAATGTACACCTGTGAGCAACGATAAACCTTTGCCAACAATATAGATGTCATATTATGGTAAAATTCCAATTATTCCGATTCCAAATTTAAAATGGATCCCGTTTCTTTTCGATTTTTCACATTCGTTGAGAAAACTCTTGAGAAAATCGAAAAATGGACTGTCTAAAGTACCTCCCCAGTGAAATTTCCTTTTAGAAAAATTGCTATCATTATAAGTTGAAGCAAAACTGCCGGTAGAAAAGTTGTCCGCAGAAAAAAATATCGTAATATTATACAAATACATTTCGTACATATCCCCGTTTTTCCTCTGTTTTTTTCCGTTTTTTCACATTTGTTAAGAAAACTTCGGTGAAAATCGAAAAAAAACCTCTCTAAAGCACCTCCCCAGGTTCTAACAAATTTAATAGTACTATTGTTTTTCAATCACAATTCCTTGACAATTGTTATAGAAAGTAAAGTAAATAATATTATAAATTTGATCTTTTCTTATACCTTCTTAAAATGCCTCTGTATACATTTTATGGCTGCGACGGTGGCAACAGAAAAACATTAACTGTAAAAGATAAAACAGTTCATCATTACAGATTTCCGAAAAATGAGTGGGTCATATTAAAACAGGGTCATTGATGACCAAACAGGTTAAATATAAACATTAAATTAAGTAGGCCTTTCAATACTGAATTTGCCGTAGAACTTATCGAAATAATTGTTTGTTGGTATTATTTTAAGACAAAATTGAAAATTCCAAACATTATGAACAAGTCAATTTCATGATTTATGTGCTATCATCATAATTCACTGGCTGACGCATTATTATTACGGTACGGAAAAAATTAGTTGATATCAGAGTTCGGAGAAAAGCAATACGGTAGACATAAAAACTTAAAACCTTAAGTGCTGGCATAACTCTTTATTTTATCATGTACTTAACTATCCCATTGATCTGGTTGAAAAATTGATTATTATTATTATTTTTGTCGATGTTATTATTTTTTTGTTTCTATTTATTTTACGGAAATTTGGCTGCACGTGGTCGCCGTATTTGGCTGTACGTATTATTATTTTAAAGGGAGTAAAAAACGGGTTGGGGGGGGGAAACGAACTAGAGAAAAAAAACTTTAACGGTATTCGAACATCGCACGCAACTTTCCATTTAACCGTCACCGTCGTCGTCGCCGTCGTAGTACACGTATATTATGCGAATCGATATCTTAGAGGACATATATAATAATAATAATATGATGTCCGACTTTTTTTTTAGATTCTGAGCGTAGTGGTAAGGAATGTTTTGATTTTACTATATTATGATGTGTGTGTGCTTTTTTTTTTGTTCGTTTTTGTATTAAGAACTTTTCGAGTAGAGTTCTTGTTCCAGTCAAAAACTTTACTGGAACTTTCCGGTATGGCGCATTGAGGAGGTCATTATTTTCCTTATGTTCAATTTAAATCGATCACATAATATGTTTTTTAATATGTTTATAATATGTAACCGACTTTCGCTAAAAATCATTTTTTGTTTGCAATAATTTATATATAGTTAGGCATTTTAAGGCTTTAGGAAAAATAAAAAATACGGCCTTTTGTCAACAGTGGCGTATATAGCCCCCTCTACACGTCAGTTGTACAAAACAAATGAATGATTACAATTTATTTATCAATTTTCACAAACAAAATTACAATGTTATACATTTTTTATCATTACAGAGTACAGGCTACAGATATCTTGTACCTATTATTTATTAATTAATGTACCTACGTATATTTATTATTATATAGTTATATTGAAAAGCAAAGGTAAACATCTTTTTTTATATTATTAATTATTAAGAACATACATTTTTATTCTTATAGTAGAAATTAGCTTTTTTTTAATATTACTTTTCTTAAAACTTTTTTTAAAGCAAATTCATTTATTATGTCATCAAAGTTTAAAGAAGACGTAAGATCGCTTTCTATTGACAGTAAATCTAAGTTATCAAGTCTTTCTTGAGTTAGTGTTAATCTTAATCTTGTTTTAATCTTTTTCAGTATAGAGAAAGATTATTCACTGTTACAGTTGATAAATGGAATTGATAAAAATATCCTTAAAATAGTTTCGATGTTAGAAAAGGTTTGCTGAATATTCATTTCATATAAATACTTAAGTTGATTATGTGGATTCTGCTTACATTGGTAAATATTATCAATGAACCCAATAGCTTGAAACTGAATGAATTCATCAACAAAATCATCGATTTTATCACAATAACTGCTTAAAACTTTGTCAACCTTCAATTTGGTTTCACTTGAGAAAGATTCTGATCTGTATAAGAAACCAAACTTGTCATCCGGTTCTTGATATTTGAATTTTTCTTTATTTAGTTCGGTCATAAAATTATCACAAATTTCAAAATTCACAGCATAGATGCATTTTTCTCTTTCTAATAAAATAATTTCAGGTGTGTTTGTAGCATAATGACATTTATTTTTAGGAGTTATTTTTTTCTTAATGAAGTATAATCAGTTGTAATATAAAAACATGATGATTTTTCTTCATATAAATTGAAAATATATCTTACACTTTGAATATGAAATTGTGTGTAAATTAATTTTTTTGAAATATTATATTATTCTTATATTTATTTTATACGATGAAAATTGTATTCTAAAAAAAAAAAATAAGATTATAAAAATTCGTGGACCTCTAATAACGCAGATCATAGGCAGTTGCTTATCCTATCTAATGGTAAATATGGCCTTGTATATGAGGTATAAAATTACTATTTTAGATTATGTAAAAACAATTGTTTAAAGAATTACATTTTTTTCTTTGAACTAGTAGTTTTTGAAAAGTAAAAAAAAAAAAATAACCAAAAAAGGAAATATAACAAAAGAAAAAAAAAAAACTTAAAAAAAACGTCCTGAGATAATGGGGACGGGTGCAGCTACTGTTATAGATAATTTAATGTACAGGTATAATGTATGATAAACCATTGCTTACGAAATGATTCTGAGCAGAGTTCAGTTGATAGTGATGCTTTGTCAACAATATATATGTCAAATTATGGTAAAATAAGTAAATAGACATCATATTATTTCTTTAATAATATTTGTTTAATGTTGTACCGATTTTCCCAATTTTCTTAAGTTTTTCCTGGTTTTCCCATGTTTTATCCCGGTTTTTCAAATTTAATGATAAAACTCTTGAGAAAATCAAAAATAACCTCCTTGAAGTACCTCCCTACACTGATTTCCTTTTAGAAAAGGTGTTTCACTTAGTAATCCGATCAAGTCTTCTGGTAGATCAGTTGTTAACAGATAAAAAAAAAAAAATAAAAGTAAAATAAACATCTCTGTAAAACCATAAGCTTCTTCGCGTCATTCGGAATCTTAAATATCGAACACTACAATTGTTCTGTCAGGTGTTAGACCTTCGTGTTACACACAGTATGTATACGATCATTTTTCTTTACGTCTGGATGCCGTCTTAACTCACTTGATATATTAATTCGATTGTATGCTTAATAATATTTCGGACTATATTATAAAAAGAAAAATGCTAATGAAAAAAAAGTTCACTCAGATTCATATTTAATGAATCATAATTATATGCATAACGAACCCGCAGAATTGATTTTTTTTATTTTCAAACAAAGAACTTTGGCCGAAATTGAATAGAAAATATCGGTAGCTCAATTTGGCAATATATAGTTTCTTTTTAAACGAAATACCTGTTTAATAATATTACTTGAACTCAATTATAATATTTTAGACACACCTACATAGAATATCCTGTTAGAATATTACTGTGTTGTAATGCACGTGCGAAACGTTTCGTTGTCAAGAATATAATTAAGAAGAAAAAAATAAAATATTAGGAATAAAGAATAAAAGAATAAAATATTGTAAATAATATAACGTATATATAATGTATAATGTTTTTTCGTTTAGAGATAATTACAATTTCAATTACAATCGGAGATTACAATTTAATTTTAATGTTAACAAAAAAAAAAAAAACCACGTCAATTTTAATTTAAATTCAGCTAAATATTAAAATTTGAATTCAGTGGTACCTATATATAATACTACCTAGGGTTATGTATATGAAATATTTCACTTGAAATTTTCACAATATATTTCGTAAATTTTCCCATTTTTTTTTTTCGGTTTTTCAAATTTGGTGAGAAAACTCCTGAGGAAATCGAAAAGTAACCTCCTTAAAGTACCCCTCTAGTATGTTTCAGAAACATTGCTATCATTTTTAGTTCGAGAAGAATTGCAAGTAGAAAAGTTGTAAACAGAAAAAAAAATAAACATAAGCTTGTTCGTTCCACTCAGGATTTAAAACATCCACTTCGTGTAAAGCGCACGCCCATAAATTTTAAAACGCAATTATTATTAATTGGACATATTTTAGGCGATTAGATTTCTATGAGTTATGGGGTATTATATTATTTTCTTGACGTAAAAATAAACGATAAATTATTAAAATAAAACAAAAACCATCGAGACGGATATCAATCTTTAATCACCTAGAATATGTATAACCCGGCTAATATTAGTCGTATACAATAAATTGATCGAATACCGAAAAATTAAAAATCATGAAATTATAAACGGACCCGTGAAATCATAAAATGAGAATTTAACCTAACCGATCCTATTATAAATCTCCCGACAATATGATATTTTAATAAAAAAAAAAAATAAATATATATATTATAAATCTCACTGTTTAGTATGCTCTAAAAACGTCGAGATTCAATATTATTAAAATAAATCGCAGACGATATTTTAGGTTTGGTACGCACTCGCTTCGAAAAAAGTTAAACAATTTGTTTGAATATCATTACCGCGAGGTCGGCTCGATAAATTTCAACCTCTAGAATGTCGAGTAAAGAAAATACACTGATTAAAACCGTCCTTTCCTTCGTGAATAAAACCCATACATGCCATTATAATAACGTTCACACTCCAGGTTTATTTTTTTATTCGGTACACAAATACTGTTACATAGGTATTGTCATCCCGTTCTAGATCAAAATATTAAAACCTATTAATAATACGAAAAAAAAAAAATAAGGCTAATAATAAATTTAAATTAAATCCATAAAATATATTTCACATAGTAACCGCGGGAAAATTATTTTGACAGAAAAAACTTCATTTAAAAAAAAACGAACATGCTACGTGACGTTGTCACGATTTTGAATTTGGGAGACGTGGGGGGGGGGGGCTAAATACGTTTTTGTTTGAATCGTGAGCATAGGAAAAATGTTCTTAAATTAAAAAAAAAAAAAATGTGTAAAGCTGAACAATACGTTAACCAATCCGGAATCCGGATTACAATTTCATAATCCGGATTCGGACTAAACTGGTAGATCTCGACTTTAGATCCAATTCCGGCTGCGCCGGTTTTGAGATAACCTTTCAGCGGGCGCATTGTTGTAAATTGTACAACAGTTTTGTATTTATTCATTTCTTTTTACATATGTTATATTTTTATCTTATCGGCAGTCTTGGTTATTCCTCGAAAATGTTACGATCTACGTTTTAGACTATTTTTGAAGGGTTTTAGTTCACTTTATTGCGGACAAATTAACGTGTTGTCGTAAAATTCAACACGCGCTGTTCCGTGTACCTCCCTGTAGGCACCTATCTATAACTCCCCCTTCAAAACGAGAAACTTGCTTCGAATGTTGAAGGGAAAAATATGCGGCTACATCTGTGACGTGCACCAAGCATACGAGGTTTGTATGTAAGGCACATTCAAAAAATGATACGTGAACAGTGTATTAATAACGATGATAGCAATTCTGAATAATTTATTGTTTATTTTATTTATTTATTATATAATAATTCAAATCAAAACCACTTTGTGAACGTATTGTTTATTTTATTACTGCCAGCATTAATACGTATTAGTAGTTATTATTAATATGTGTACGATAATCACAACGTATTAGGACTGTTTTAAAATTTACACGCGCGACTACTCTCGTTTCAGAAAACAACGCGCCCGCCCGGGAGGATAATCAGCGATTTTTTTATTATTATCTATAGATAATGAATATGGTATGTACAAATTCTACGTACAATACGAATATACGATCTCGGATCTATCGACGATCGACTCAATGCGACATGACCCCTAAACACAAGTAAGCCAGTATATTCGAGTTTTTCACAATTTCTCAACTTATAATAGTCCAGCGAAACTTTGTCGACAAAGTCAAATTATAATGCATCAAATCAGTAGGTGGGCACCTATGAGCGTTATTTATGATTTGCAGGTGACTCTATATCAGAAAACGGAGAAAAAAAAATAACAATTGTATTTAAAACACTTTATAATCCGGATTGGTAGTCATAATCTGGATTGAAAGTAACAGGCCGGTTTAAGCGGATTGTAACGATTGTTTCAGTGCGGATCTATCAGAATTTGGTGTTCAGCACATTATGTATACAGTTTGAATATTTTCTACAGTTCTATTTTCTCAGTTCCATTAATATTGTGACGAGATGAACGCGTATAAACAAATGGGTTTCCATAAGGTCCACAAAATAATGTATAGAGTGAACAGTAAAATGGCATTTATGTAACGCGGCCTACAATAGATATAAGGGTTTCGTTAATAAATAAAATCGAAAAATCAATTCCGAACGGAGTTCAGTTGATAATGACGTTTTGTCAACAATATATATGTCATATTATAATAATACAATTAAATAGGCATAATATATTCGTTTAATGTACCGATTTTCCCGTTTGTCCTACGTTTTTCCCGGTTTTTCACATTTTCTGGGAAAACTTGTGAGAAAATCGAAAAGCGACCTCTCTTAAGTACACCTCCCCCCCAAGTGAAATTTCTTTTTAGGAAAATCGCTTTCGTTATAAGTTGGTGCGAAATTGCTGGTAGTATGGTAGTAAAGTTGTCCACAGAAAAAAAAAATCGCAATATTATACTAATATATTTTGTACATTTTCCCGTTTTTCCTCAATTTTTT